AATGAAAGCCCTTTGTATCTGCTCAATTTCATCACAAAACGTTACTGGTAAAAGACCATTCTGCATATGGAAAGAAGGGATTGCAGCAATGACCGATTTCACCAAAGTAACTCGACCAGCAAAAGAAAGGCAATGGCTTTTCCAACCATCCAGTTTTGAACGTATCCTATCCTTGATAGCTCCATAGTCTGCTTTAATATATCTCCCTTGTTTAACAATAGAGCCTAAATATCTGCCAATACTAGAAGTGCGCTTAAAGCCCATTCTGTTGACAATCCTTGTAGCAACTTGAGTATCAGTATTCGGGGAAAAATAAATCAAAGATTTATTTGCACTAACACTTTGCCCCGACATCTCACAAAAGAGATTAATACAATCCATAATCACCTTAGCTTGCTCCATATCTGCTTCCGCAAAGAGAATGATATCATCTGCAAATAAAAGGTGGGATACACTCGGCCCTCTTCTGCAGACTCTAATAGGCTTCCACGAACCCATAGTCACTTTTTCAGCGATCAAGTGGGAAAGCTTCTCAACACACAACACAAAAATATAAGGAGATATTGGATCCCCTTGACGAATTCCTCTCTGAGGAACTATGCAATCCGAAGCCACACCATTTATCAAGACCCTCGAACGATTAGAAGTTATAGAAGCCATTATAACACCAATCATCCAATCAGGAAACTGAACTTCAATAAGCACTTTATAGATAAAACTCCAACTGAGTTTATCATAAGCTTTTTCAAGGTCCAGTTTGATTGCCATTGTACCTTTCTTTCCTTTTACTCTCCCCATAGAATGAACCAGCTCCTTTGCTACTATAATATTATCCTGAAGCTGACGATTTGGCACGAAGCTAGCTTGGTAAGGAGAAACTAAATTCTCCATTGTAAGCTTAAGCCTATCCACAATGATCTTGCTCATACCCTTATAAATGACATTACACAAAGAAATAGGCCTGAATTGAGAAACATACATTGGCTTAGGAACTTTGGGGATCAAAGTGATCAGAGTACCGTTGACTTCCTCAATGCTGGAAGGGTTTTCTGCATAATACTTGATATCTCTCCAAATCTGTTCACCAATAAATTCCCAGTTCTTTTTGTAGAATGCCGCGGTATAGCCATCCTCCCCTGGAGCTTTCGAATCTTTCATAGAAAAGAAAGCTCGTCTGACTTCATCTTTTGAAATTGGAGCACCTAAGTTAACAGCAGTCTCATCGTCCACCTTTGGCCAAAGAGTCTGGACCCAAGGACGATCATGGTTTTCTTCAGAAAATAGTTTAGAGAAGTAAGCATTTATTACCCGTGCAATGTTGTGATCTTCTCTAATCAAGTTTCCAGCATCATCTTTCAACTCCAAGATCTTGCTCCTTCTACGTCTAACAATTGTTTTCGTATGATAGTACTTTGTATTCCTATCTCCTTGAGCTATCCAAGTAGCACGAGACTTTTCAAACCACAAAAGTTCCTCCTGTTCTAAAACTTGTTCAAGTTCACCCCTTATCTTGCCTTCAATCTTTTCCAAATGGCTTTTATTCTGCTCAGAAATTGCCCTCTGGATACCTTCAAGCCTACCAATCAACCTGTTCTTCTTATGATGGATATTACCAAACACATCTTTATTCCACTGCTTAATAAGAGGAGTGAAATCACGAAGACTATCAACTGTTCTTTGATCCTGACGCCAGTTTTCCTTGATGAAATTGTTAAAAAATTGATGATCCAACCAAAAAGAATGAAAACGGAAAGGGCGTTCCACCCCATCAACTTTGCTTGGCTCTAAGGTAATAAGGATAGGATTATGGTCACTGTTAATACGAGGAAGCACTCGAACCTGGCCTTCATGAAACATCAACCTCCATTCAGCATTGCTACAAGCTCGATCTAAACGTTTAAAGACTCTATCTAAATGAAGAAATCTTGGTCCTCGCCATGTAAATTTAGAACCTATTCCTTCAAGATCAATCATCTTTATATCAGTTAGAAGAGAAGCAAATTTATTACATCTGCTAGTATCAACTGGAGCACCACCACGTTTCTCACCTGGAAAGGCAATTTCATTAAAATCACCTGCAATTAACCAAGGAACCGAGATATCTTCTGATAACTGAAGTAAATCATCCCAAAGTCTCTTCCGAATTTCTTCTCTAGGACTTGCATAGATAACAGTATAAAGAAAAGCTTGATGATCTGCCAATGTAACACGAACATGAATAAATTGATGGGTCTGTTTTAATGCTTGAACCTGACACCTATCATTATTCCATAGTAACCAAAGACCTCCCGTAAATCCATGAGCATCCTCCACTATTGAATTATTAAAACCCAGCTTTTTTATTATCTGTTTTGCTTTTGAACCACTTACTCGAGGTTCAAGAATAGCTGCCACCTCAATCTTATGCCTTCGAACCATCATTTGAAACGTTGATTTGAAGCACTTTTTAGCCGCCCCGCGGCAATTCCATGTAACTAAAGACATTAATCAATGGTAATTTGGCAGGATTGTGGGTCCACTGCCATCCCATTGTCATTGCACTGAGTTTCAGATTCTGAAATCATCTCCACCTCAATATTGAGCTTATGGTTTATTGGGATATGCTTTCCTTTATCTCTACTTGGATCAGGCGCTTTTGGTTGGGACAAGCCATGATCTAAGCCGTTGATATTTTGACCATCCTTATCCACCTCCATTTGATAACAATCTTTGTTATAATCAGCAACAGTACTCCTAGCCACCATGGAATCTCCACCGCTTTTACCTCCAATGTCCTTACTATTATGAATCGCAACTTGCCTCCTCAAGTTCGTTGTATTATTGTTTGAGGTACCTCTGTCAACTATCTTCCCATTTATTTGATTTTCTTTTTCATGACCTGTCGTAATCCCACTTAACGTAAATCGGTTGGGGTGTTCCTGTAATTCAACATTAGGACGGCTTCTAGGGTTTCTGTGTTTGGACCCTTGAGATGTACTAATATCAATATTAACAGGAGAGCCCACCATATTGACGTCATTTATAACAGCATCCGGATTAGTCGCTGGGATATCATGAGTAATATCATCTTCATTAGAGCCCATTAAAGCAGCGTAACGGGAATTTGATTGATTATCAATCATAACCGGCTGATTTGATTGCGGTTGATTACTCCCTTGATTATTCCCTTGATTACTCCCTTGATTGCTCCCTTGATTACTCCCTTGATTATTCCCTTGATTACTCCCTTGATTACTCTCTTGATTACGCCTTGATTCCCTTCGAACCGGTTCCTGCTTCCTGTTGTCCGCCATTGGAGTTTGAATTTTTGATCGACGTTGACGTTGCACCACCATCCAAGGACCTAATCCATTTTTCTGAAACTCAGCCTCATCTTTTTTCCCGTCTTGATTTTGCTGATTATCCTTTCCTTCAACTGGTATCTCAGGACAACAATCTTTACTATGTCCATAGCGCCTACAATGGAAACAAATAAGGCCTAAACCTTCATATTCTATCTGTTTAGTTGCTCCGTCCAACACATATTCACCCTTCAAAGGCTGAGCAAGATCCAGTTCCACGCAAATTCGAGCAAACTGTCCTCTTACATGCTCATTAGTTGTCTTATCGATCTTCAACATTTTACCTAGCCAGTTACCAATACGGCGGAAAAAGGCTTCATCATAATACTCCAGTGGGATACCCGGTAATCGCACCCAAGCTGCAATCTTCATCACACTTGCAGCATTTGGTCTAAAAGCTGGCTCCCAACGTCGGAGTGATAAATAATGGCCTAAAATAATCCAAGGACCACCATTTAGAGCAAAAAAAAGATCATCTTTGTTGCTAAATTGCACCACATAGAATCCATTACCTACATCTGTAACGTTAATCTTTCCAGCTCTAGCCCATAGTATTTCAATCTTCTTTTTCATGAAAGCCACTCCTGTATTCCTTCCAAGTAGTTTTACAATGAGAGCTTTTTCCCAAACCTTCAGCATTCTTGTTCTTGCTTTTCTAGTACAACCAAAATGAGTTCTACCATCTTCCTCTGTCCACATTTTAATCCCACCATAATTCACATCCTCTTCCTCGGCAGGTGCACTTTGATCAACATTTTCTTCCAAATTCCAATCCATTCCTTCCCAGTCATCTGTTTCACCATTGTGTTGCATGAGCATCTCTCGCCAAGTCATCTTTTTATTACCGTCGTCAACCATCCAAGATTCATGTCTAGGAACCCTAGACTGTGATTCAGTAAACACCATATCTCCATCTTTATTTCTCTTATTACTCCTACGTAGTAGATCTTCTTCTTCTTTTGAAGTTTGGCCTTCAGTAGCTATATTTTCCTCCATGAAAAGGAAAACCCTAGCAGAGCGTTTTTTGAAAAGGAAAACCCTAGCAGAGCGTTTTTTGAAAAGGAAAACCCTATCAAGGTAATATTGCCATCAATTGCAAATCGTTACAAGAGATGAAGAGAATACTATATATATATATATATACAATATTTACGATTATGCATGAATTTTTACTAAGATTATTTCAATATTAATTTATGCACAATACACCTGATTCTTTTCTTAATAAAATTATGCAATTCCCATTATATCAATAAAATACCACTATCAAATTATCAATCACCATAAAAAAAAAAAATCAAACTAGCAAATTGAGATAAAAATATGCATTTACTTCAGGTACTCACTCATATGAAGGCATTTTATTAGTAACGTGCTGTGTGGAAACGCGTTTACCTACCAAAAAGCCAAAAACGTAAAGTTGTTAAGCAATTTGACTTTAGGGAAAGTTGCCTAATACATTTAGATTTCAAATCAATTAAATAACAAATAAAGAATGATTTATATCTTTAGCCAAAAGAAGAAAAAATAAAATACAATCCGTAAATAAAGGAAAAGAAACATAATCGGCGTCTCAATGAAGTTGACACGCAAAAGGGCCCAATAATTTTCGCAATTAGAGAAAGAACGTTTAATTACATTACTTGCAAACACACACAACCACATAGTCATCTTCATCGTCCAAACACTCTCTGACACTTTTCAACTGCTCATGTGGTTCCTCTGGAAACCTCTTCTACACAATCTTCCTATGTGCCTTCTTATGTAGTAAAACGCGTGCGACACACACACACTATGTTATAATATAACATATACTTACCTTCCATGTTTTGGGTCAGGTTTTTCTCATCGTGCTGATGCAAGATAGGGTTTTTACTTTTTAAGCACAACAATGACCAGGTACAGGAACTACTGTGTTTAGTGCAAGCTTTCATAAATTATTTGCAATTTTAGTTGAGTAGACGAGCTGAATTTAAGGATTTTTGAGGTTTTGTTCATGTTCATGAGTTTATTTGATTGATTGATAGTTGTGAGTGTAGAAAGGTTTGTGAGTCAATAATGGAAGGTGTTGATCAAAGTGGTATGCAAAGAACTAGTTCTGCATTTCCTAGACCCCCGAACCGATTGAATGTTATGCATATCAATCAAATGGGTGTTGCTGAGAACCAGAAAATTTCTGGTATACCACCCTCTCACCCCAATACCAATATTTCACCTACATCTCCTTATCCCCAATTTATAGCCTCACAATCCCAATCCCAATCCCATTTGGGTTCCCAGCGTTTGCGTTCTCATAATTTGAGTCCTGGGTCATCCCATTCCAGGTCTCTGTCTCAATCCTCATTTTTCTCTCTGGATTCCTTGCCCCCATTGAGCCCTTCCCCTTATCGTGAACCCGTTACGGCATCTGATGTGTCTAAGGAGGAAAGCTTGGCTACCTCTCACGCCCCGGTCCCTAACCGAGGTCATCAGGTTCAGCTTGGTCATTGTCTTCCACCTCGTAAAGGACACAGGCGCTCTAGCAGTGATTCCCCCTTAGGAATCTCTGGTTTTATTCAGTCTTTCCCTCAGTCGGTTCCTGCTGACAATGCTCCTTCTAGAGGAGAAAACAAAGGTTTTGAGAAGCCAATTCAGCTAGTATTGAAGGAGCCAATTAAGGATACGGATTGTGTTGATGGCTTCAGTGGAGAACCTGTGGATGGGAGAAAAGAGGATGCCCTGGATGATTTATTTAGTGCATATATGAGTTTGGACAACATTGATAATCTGAATTTTTCTGGTATGGAAGATAGCAGAACTAGTGGTTCCAAGACAGTTGAAAGCAGTGACAATGAAGTTGAGAGTTATGTAAATGGAAAAACAACCGGTGCTTGGGGGGCAAGTTCAAGCTGTTCGGAAGAGAGGAGGGAAGGAGTCAAGAGGAGTTCTAATGGAGACATTGCACCTGGTGCCCGACACCGGAGAAGTTTCTCATTGGACAGTTCCTTGGAAAATTTTCGTGTTGAAGATGGATCACCTAATCTTCCTCCTTTGCAAAATCGAGCTGGTCAACACTCGCCTGGCGATTCAGTAGATGGTAAAACATCTGATATCAGTATGGAGTTTGGGAATGGTGAGTTTAGCTCAGAGGAGATAAAGAAGATAATGGAAAATGATAAACTTGCTGAAATTGCCATTTCTGATCCCAAGCGTGCAAAAAGGTGATATTTTCCTTGTCTTTGCCCATAATTCAGTCATTTTCTTTTGATAAAAAAACTAAAACTGTATTTGTTAAATACTTGCCTAGGATTTTGGCTAATCGTCTATCAGCTGCCCGCTCAAAGGAGCGGAAGATGCGGTACATTTCTGAATTGGAGCATAAGGTCCAAACTCTTCAGGCCGAGACAACCACATTGTCTACTCAGTATACCAAATTACAGGTGCGTATCTTCCGAGTTGAGCTGATATTCCCTTTTCTTCAGTTTGTCAATTATATTTTATTGTCGTGAATGCTACTATTCATTCATTCATTCATTCATTCTTTTTCTCCCTTTTTATTGTTGTGCTCGTCTTCAGATGGATAATTCAGAGCTTAAAACTGAGAATAACGAGTACAAATTGAGGCTTCAAGCCTTGGAACAACATTCACAATTGAAAGATGGTATTTGTATACATTTGCCTTATACTTTGTGTATTAGTTAGCTCAAATCTGCTTTAACTTATATCACCCTGTAAAGTGTAAACTATTTATTTGAAGTGGATAACTTTGTCATTTTTGTACAGAAAATAACCTGTATATCATAGTTGTTAGAATTACACGATTCAATACAATTTGGTAAGCCAGGTATTCATATCATGTGATGTATCAGAGATGGCTTTGAATCACGTGATACATGCATGAATTAGTGTGATTCTGTATTACAAATACAAATCACACGATTCAACGATTCTTTAGTTTTTATTCTTTTATTCTTTTCTTTCATCAATTCCCATAAAAGAAATTGAAAAGTTAAATAAGCTTAGATTATTAAATGAAAGTAAACTAAAGGAGTGCTACTAAATGCACCCTATTCGATTATTCCACAGTCCTGTTTTTATGCTTTTGAATCAGGAGTTTCGCATAGTCACTCACTCACTCTATGTATCCTATTTAGCTATTACATTGCTTTGTTTTCATTCTTCTGAAACATAGGCTTCACGCAATCACTTGCTCGCTTTACATGCACCTTATTTGGCTATATCATATCGGTGCTAAGTTTTATTTCTTCTGAAGCATAGGTTTCATGCTGTCACTTTATGAGACTCAGTTATGACTCATGATTTGTGATTTTGTTTTGTGAGACTTATGGTTAAGTTGTCTTGTCAATTTCTAGTTTTGAATTATTACATATGATTTATATGATACTATCAAGCTATTTTTTATTGTCTCTGAATATTATGATTCAAAATGATTTAAGATTTACGATTCAAAAATTAGCTTGGCAATTCATGATTTACGATTCAAAATGATCGATCATGTTCAATGATGTCTGATTTTCTTTAAATAAAATCGATTTTATGCGTAATAGCTAGTAACAACATGTACTTTATGACATTTTTCGAGTGTGAAGATAGTTATTCAAACATTTGTTGGTTCTCAGCTTTGTGAAATGGTTGATGTCAATTAACAAATATAAGAGTGACTTCTATCCAATCATGTTCAATGATCTCTGCACGGCTGCAACTTTCAAATCTGCCTGCCTGACCAAGGAATTTGATTTCTTCTTGACAAATGCCTGCAAATTTGTAACCCAAGTGCATTTTGCCCTAATACTGTGTTTTCCTGATGTTCTGTTTCATGTTGTAGCCTCTTTAAATCTGCATATGAGAAATGCTTGAATCTAATCTGGTTTTAGTCATATATTCTCTTAATCTTGCCTCCATAGGTGTGGTCACTTAAATGCCTTTATTGCCAAAATATAAAGAAATAAGAGAGAAAACGAGACTGGGAAGGGGGCTCTACTGCTCTAGTAGTACAGTTTCAAATATTCCTTTTTCTTGTATATGCAAAAACACTGCAGCTTTTTTTATTTGATGGAAAATAGTCACAGTAAAACTAACAATCATTTTTGGGAAAACTTCAAAAAGTCCCCTATAACTTTCCTCATAATCTTTTACTCCCTCCCTAAAATTTTAAATCATTTACTCTCCTCCTGACTTAAAGTTTTTTTATCATTTAACCCCCTAAGTGAGGGGGTAAGTGATAAAAAAAATCTAAATAAGGATGTAAATGATTCAAAAAAATTGTGAGGGGGTAAGTGATGATTAAGAAAACTCATAGGGTTTTTTTTGAAGTTTTCCAATCATTTTTTCCACAAAACTTTTACTTGCTCCAAACCTTTATCAGCTGTGTCCTCATTTCTAGATTTTCATTTCATTATTAATGTAGTTATACACTATAAACTTCTACATCTCCGAGACATTGAAAACATGTTTTCAACTCTTAAGCTGTAACTTGTAAGTATATATCTCCGTTACGCCCTCTCCCTTCAAAATCACTGCACTGCCTTGATTTTGTGCTGGAGATGAATATCTTCACCGGACTGGTCTATCTATATATTTAGTTGTGTACATGTTCCTTGGGCAGAGTATTGATTTTTGTTTTGACGATTAAGGAACTGATGAAAGTAATTCCTGCAATAGTACATTTCGTTAGTACTTTCTATATCTTCCAAGTGCTGGGTCCTCTGCATTTATGCATTTGAATCTGACAGGGTTTACATTTCAACAGTCATTTAACCATTTGTGTTCCTTGATTGTGGCAGCTCTGAATGAGACCTTGGATGCTGAAGTGCGGCGCTTACGATGTGCAGTTGCAGAACTTGGCGGTGAGTCCCTCCTCTCAAGTCGCATGGCTCAGCAACGTGCTATTAACCAACAAATGTTGCAGTTACAGCATCATCAACAGCCAAGTCAGCTTAGACATTTTCAACTGCAAAACAGCCATTCTCAGGAAGAGACACAGACTCAGTCACAGCAGATTCAACGCAATAATGAATTGCAATCTCAGCGCCAGAATGGCAAAGCTACTGCCTACTGATCTCAGTAAATTATAGAAGCAATTGATATATATATATATATATATATATATATATATATATATGGCTGCTTTTGATTCAAACTTTGGTACAATATTTTTTGGAAATGTAGCTGATGGCACTGAACCACCGTTAGTTTGCCTATATAGGTCGGTTTTTTAGTTTTTATTTTTCCCTCAATGTTTCACACATATATACTTGGAGTGTATTTTCATATTAACCTTGTGGTCATATCAATTATTATGAATACAATCCACCCCCCTTTCCCTATTGAATGATAGTTTTTCTGGCATGATCTAATGATCTATAACGCGACAAATATTGGTTGGTGCTAAATTTTTTGTATACCAAATATTCGTAAATTTTGGTTCAGAAAGGATTCAAAAAATAAAATTGAGATATACTTATTTTAGTGTAACTTTTTGATGTCCAAACACCTTAGTAATTTATTTAATACATGTAGGCACAAATTTAGGCATGCCCCGTGACTTGTAGGTTAATGCTAATCGCTTTCTTTCACACGCCATTGATTGACATTATTAAAACTTATGTATTTTGTGTGTTACGTAGACAAATGGAACAAGTATTAGACTCCATCCGATTAATTATTCCAGAAAGACGACTTTCTTAGACCAATTAAATTCTGCACGTAGTTTCTATTCCCATTATTAAATAGGATCGAAAATATTAATCGGTCACATCAAATAGTGTATACTTTGCTAAATAATGACTCATTTGTTAGTCAATAAGATGTATAAATTGATCAACAGACTAATAAAATCTTAGTATAAGACAAAAATATATATATTAATTTCTTATAATTATTTAAATGTATGTTTTTAATACAAGAACACAAGGCTAAAAAACAAGAACATTAATTACCAACTAATTAAAAAGTCTACATCATCATGAGACTATTTGATCTTTAATCATATTTATATGACCTTGATAGGTCAAATGATTGAGATTGTAGAGTGTTTCTTGGCCACAAGGTAAAGATCATTTTTCTTGTGCATAGTTATTCCTGGTTTCACTTGCGTGTCTAACACGTCATCTTTGTCAAACCCACGAGGCACTTCCCAATCAAACGAGTGGAGAAGATTAGCAAGTGAAAGCTCAACGGTGACCACAGCCATGTGCTTCGCAGGACACATTCTCCTTCCAGCTCCAAATGGAATCACCTCAAAATCTTTACCCTTTAAGTCTATTGAACTCCCAAGGAACCTTTCAGGATAAAACTTTTCTGGGTCTTCCCAGTTCTCAGGGTCCCTTGCTATAGCCCACGCGTTAACATAGACAAGAGTTTTGGCTTGAATCTCATAACCATCTATGGTGCACCTTTCCATCGTTTCTCTTGGCAAAAGTAACGGTGACGGTGGAAACAATCTCAATGTCTCCTTAACAACTGCTTTAAGATAAGGAAGCCTTTCAATATCATCTTCATTTACAAAATCTTTGTCCCCAAATAAATCTCTTATTTCTCCTTGAACCTTTTTCATCACATCAGGATTCCTCAACAATGCTGTCATAGCCCAAACTATTGCTGCTGAACTCGGGTCTGTTCCTGCTGTAAAGATGTTCTGCATGTATATATAATCACATATAATTAAATAAACTGAACGTTTTGTGATTAATTAATTACCATAAGTTTAAGATTTGAACTCAAAGATTAAGAAAATGAATTTATTGACACTTGGATCAAGTAATGGTTGGTAATATATTGACACCATGTTTTGTTAATCTGTAACAACTATGAGACGAGGTGTCAAACTTTTTATTTGATATCAATGTCGAAGGATCCTGTTGCAGATATATATTTTAATAAAGCATTAGAAAGAAGAAAGCTTACCATAAGCACAGCTTTTATATGATCAAGAGTGAGATCAAAAGAGAATGAGTGATCATTGATCATCTGGAGAAAGATATCAATGATGTCCGTTACATCTTGGTCATTGGTTTTATGCCTTGTGGGATCCATGTGGTCATGGATGACTCGTTCATAAAACACATCAAGCTCCTTGAAGGTTTTATCAAGCCGCCATAGAATTCCCCTGACTCTATCAACCCACCCCATCAATGGAAAATAATCTGAAAAGTAAAATTCTGTCATCATTGCTTGAGCCTCGTTGAGTAGTACCTGCAATCTGCTCCTTCTGTGGCTTCCTAATTCAACAACCTCATCATATTCATAACTATACTTTTTCCCAAAAGCTATCCTACTTATTGAAGTGCAAGTGAAAGACATCAATATTTCTGTCAAGTTTACAACTTTATGGGAAGCATCGTACTCTGATAGTTTTTGAATCATTTGGGCAACCTCGTCTTCTCGAATGGGACGAAAGGATTGGACACGATGAGAGCTGAAGAGGTGGAGGATAGAGAGTTTTTTCATTTCTCTCCAGTAAGGGCTATAAGGTGTGAAACCCAAGTCCAAGAAATTGTAAGACAATATCCTTGGTCCAAGGAAGGATGGTCTGCTTGCAAAGATGAGGTCGTGTGTTTTCAAGACTTGTGTCGCCATTTTTGCTGAGGAAACGACCAAGGTTGGAACAGAGCCAAGGCGCAACGACATGAGAGGTCCATAGCGTTTGGAGAGTTGGCTTAAGGAGCGATGTGGGGCTGAGTTATCAAGCTGGTGGAGATTGCCAATGAGTGGAAGACCTGGAGGACCAGGTGGAAGAAGTGCTCTTGCTCTGTTTGTTCTGTGTTTGTGGATGATGAATAGAGTGAGGATAGATAATAACGAAAGAAGAACAAGAACCCCCATGATGCAGGTACCCCACAAATTCCACCTCTATCTTCCAAATTTATAAAACTTTCTTCTTTTGGTCAGATATGCACCGTACGCTGGATGTATTGAAGATTTTTCCTGTTTTGGACCGGGCCTTGCGACATTTCCACCGGACCATTCCTCAAGGCCAAAGTATTTTTGTGGTAAAAGACGAAAATGGATCTTCTCAATCATGTTTTAAAAAAAATATGACATGATCGTATAGTACAATTATAATTATATAAATTGTGAATTAATAATTATTTATTTTAATCCTTTTTTATTATTATTATTATTGATCTACATTTGTATAATTATGATTGCTTAAATAATTATAGGGTTCGTTTTTTCTGCAGTTACTGCAGATAAGTTATCTACAGTAAGCCCAATACGACGTCGTTTTGGACGAAAATCATAGTGTTGTTGTAATTTTAATTTATCTTAGGGTTATAATAGTCTTTATATTTATAATTTTTTAAGATTTTAATACCAAAACGACGTCGTTTTGGGAATAAATGCAGATAACTTCTCTGCATTAACTGCGAAAACATTTTTTCCATAATTATATTATGTCTTTTTCAACATGAAAAGATCCACTTACATACAAAGATATATAGTCTATTGATTACCTCACACTTTCTATCCACATATGAGATATATATATATATCAGTAGTCACGCAGTCTCACGTCATTGTGGGCTCATATGGCTGAAAAACGATTATGAAATTACATTTTTTATGTCTAAAAGAATCTTTTTCACTCTATAAATACTGCATCATTTTCTTGGAGAGAATATCTTTATCTTTATTACTCACTATACTTAAATTCTAATCGAGTTCATTCACTACCCTAAATAGAGACAAGATATAGGAAGATGATTGTTGTAAAAAATAGCTGTCTGATTAGCATCTTTTATAAGCAAATTAGCATTTTTTGTATAAGCAAATTAGCGTTTTATTTTGCTTATGTAAATCCAAGATTAATAGATAGTTGATTATTAAGATTTGACATTTTCACTTTCAAAGTAATCGTTCAGTCAATCCCATCTCTTATGCTATCTAACAACTACACCTAAGAATTAGCTGTCAATCAGCACCTTTCATTCGCAAATCAGTATTTTATTTTGCTTACCTAATTAGCCTAAAATAATAGCAAGTCGATAGCACAAGTTACTGTTTATTTTACACATTGATTAGGGTTATATACAAAGATTTTATAAATCTCATGTTAAAAGAGATAAGTTATTTCATGTCATAGAGATAAATTTGTGGGCTCCACCACTTAAAAAAAAGTGGCACAATTATCGAAAGGGTGTTTAGGAGAAAAAACTTATCTCGTGTAGCATGAGAATAGTTTTTCCCATATATAAATGTGTGTGAAAAGATCCGTTTACAAACTCTTTTTACAAGTTACACTAAGTGTAATTGGTCGTACACTTTTGATTAATGTATGACCGGTTAGACATAGTGTAATTTGTAAACAAAAAATTTGTAAATATAACTTTCCTTTAAATGTAACGAATGTTTACATAAAGAAAGTTGCATCATTGTAGTGATATTGCACGTATAAATAGGTTAGGCTTTGACTTAAATAGCCTAAGCCTATATATAATATTTTAGGACTAGCTTAACCTGTCAGCTTTATATAGGTTCAAATTATAAATCTGACTTGATATATATTTAAAAAATAAAAGTATTGGCCTAGGTCTATTAACCTGTTTAAATTCTATTAAACATTCAATAATTAAAACAATACAACTTTATTATTTAAATTAAATAATATAATATAGGCCGACCTGTAAGATTATAAGCCCGACATAGCCTATTTTTTAAACAATTTTTTTTAAAAGTCTAGACTTGATATATTTGACTATATTTAATATGCCAAATTTGATATGATATAGGCTAAGTTATAGATCCTGTAAGCCGATCTAACTCATTTATACCCCTAATTTCAAGTAGTAATACAAAAATCTGTAAAGTCTGAACCAATTTTTTTTAGCAACGAAGTAGCCGGAAGGTAAGATTTGTTCCCTAGTGATTTGGAGGGATTCCATTAGAGTGCAGAGCTAGTTGAAAAAATGCATATAACAGAGCAAATTATGAACAACCGTTCAATGCTACCACAATGCCAAATATTTTAAAAAATTCATAACCAAATAAAAGGATATTATGATGGAAAAATCCACCCATTTGAATTTGACGAGGTAATATATAAATGTAAAAGATGTAGACAAAAGTTGCATTATTGTAAATGACAAAGAGAGTTGAAAAAGTCACATTCAAAAAAAAAAGAGAGTTGAAAAATCAAAAAGTTGCATTGTTGTAAATTGTATTACAAGTTTTTGTATAAAAATTGGAAAGTCTACACCAATCAGTTTTAAAATAGTAGTTGTGGTGACCTTAAGCAAGGAAGTTGCTGGATGATAGTTTTTTATTTAATTATTTTTGTATTCCAATCAGTTCATATTCAAGTACTGATTCATATAAAGGACAAGTCTATCAAGACCATTTTTCTACTCTCGCTACTCAAATTCAAAAACTTTGGTTGGTTAAATAAAACAAATGGGATAGAGAACAAGATACAGCAAGATGATTTGTTGGAAATAAGAGCAAGATGATTTGTTGGAAATAAGAGAAGTAGAATGATATAAATTGGGACCAGAAAACTTTTTTGATGGGTAGTACACTATAATACTTTGCTTTTGTAATATTAATCAGTAACTCACACTTTTCTATTTTTCCTTTTCACAAGAACTCCTCTTTTCTTTTTTCATTCACAGCAATTCGTTACTATATATATATATATATATATATATATATATATATATAGGAAGAATATTTGTCATTTTAAATAACACAATCTATGTCATTTTACTCATAAAGAGATGTGACTCACACTTTTTTTTTTTTTTTTTTATGTCCACTCTCTCTTCCTCTTTATCTATTTCTTTCTTTCACTTAGGGTGCGCATGACAACCTTCCTGAAATCAATTTTTTTTTTAATTTCTATTCTCGGGAACAGAAATGGATAGAAAACTCATTTGGTAAAACTAGTTTATTTTTTGTTCCCGGAATGAACCAGATTGATTTTTGTGCTGGGGAACATAAAAAAGAATCAATTTTTTTTTTGTTTTTTTGTTCCCGGACACAAAATGAGAAACACTTATCTCTCTTAATTACTCTCCATCTCTACCATCATCACCACCACTACCATCATCCCAACACGACCACCGCCACCATTGTCGTCGCCGCCGTCGTACCACTAGTGCTGTCGTGACCACCCCCCACCACCACTATGCCACCGCTATCATCACCATCACCACCACCTTCACCCCCCACCCCCGCCGCCGCCACCACCATAACCACACCATATGGAAAGGAAAGTGATGATTCGAATTTTTTTTACATTTATTGGGAATTATTTTTTATTATATTATTTGTTATGTTATCAAATGCAATTCTCATTCTCGGAATAAAAATAGAACATGTTATCAAACACATTTTTTTTCTCATAAACTGTTCCAAGGAACAGAAATAGAAAAGAATTGTTTCTTTTTAGAAACAGTGCCAGAGAATAGAATGATTGTCATGCACACCCTTAAAATGATACAACTTTACATCCTTTAAAATGATATACATTTTTATTTTTTTTATTTTACACTCTAACATAACTCTTTCTTTCTTTTTGTGTAATATAAAAACTTGACTCTTAACTATAGACTCCTGACTCTCTTTTTTATGCAACACTATTAAATTTGTTTCTAACAACTTTTTACGGCCAAACATTTATTTGTGGCCTTGGACAATTTCTAATGACAACCACATATCCTGATTCGAGATAAGATCAAAACTCATTTACTCATAATCATTTTCCCTTCTTAAATTTATAATTAGAGTAAAATCTTTTTTGGATCCCTAATAAAAAATACGATTTTTACTTTTGTCTTTTATAAAAAAAAGTCAACTCTTGGTCTCTCTGCAATCTCATTTCTTTAAAAATATGATCCCTCAGAAATTCAATAAAGATCCAATTTAATCCGTGAAAAAAAACTAATATAGATTTTTTTTATAAGAGACGAAAATAGAGACTGTGTTTTTGGTTAGAGACCCAAGCCTCCCAACTTGGTATTAGAGCGTGGTTTATCTTGGAACAAAGAAGTCCCATACCTGATAGTGATCAAACTAGTGTTGCTAGTGTTGTTAAGCTTATGCCACGTGGACTGGAAAAACAGAATTAGGTTCTTGTTAGATAATTCGGTTAGGCTTTCCCGCGCTTTTACCTTACTTCTTTTTGATGTAAAACAGCACCTGTATAAATACTTTGAAGAGAAATGAAAACAGTAGATTGGTTTTTCCAAAATGAATGTTAGTTTCATCGAGTTTAAGATGGTATCAGAGCTCTAAATTGGGGCTCTGGTATCGCAGTGAGAGAAACGCGTGATTTTTCTTTTCGTTGTCTTCTACAATGGCAGAAGGTGAATCCACCGATGCTTCCGCTACCGTGACACAACCACCATCGGTGTCTCGATATCCTGTGATGCCTCTGGCGGTGCCTGATTTCTATACAAATCCTTCTCACCCGTTCTTTTTACATCCAAACGAATCACCGTCGACAATCTTAGTTCCTCAGTTGCTCAATGGAAACAATTATCATATGTGGTCTAGAGCCATGACTGTTGTGCTCATTTCGAAGAACAAGATAGGGTTTATTGATGGTAGCATGGATCCACCTTTGGAAGATGATCCTTCTTATTTCGCTTGGCAGAGGTGTAATAATATGGTAAATGCATGGCTTCACCGTTCAATTTCACAATCAATTGTCCAATCGATCATATGGATCGAAAAAGCTTGAGATGTCTGGGTTGATTTATGTAACAGATTCTCTCGTTCTGACATATTTCAGATTTCTGATCTTCCAGAGGAGATCTATCGTTTAAAGCAAGGAGATAAAGATGTCACAGAGTATTTTACTGAACTTAAAACTCTGTTTGATGCATTAGATAATTTGAAGCCATTACCAATTTGTAGTTGCTCGACCAAGTGTTCATGTGGTGGATATTTGAAAATGAAGGATTATCGTGATCGAGATTATATCATACGGTTCCTCAAGGGATTAAATGAGCAATATTCACAAGTCAGATCCCAAATAATATTGCTTAAGCCTTTTCTTGATGTTTCTCAGGCTTTTTCCATGGTAACTCAACAGGAACGACAGTTTCAAGGTGAAATTCGTGCAGATAACAACCAATCCTTTGCTGGATTTTCTGATAATGCTTCTTTTCGAAGAAATCATGGTGCTAGAGGTTTTAGAAGAAGAGGCAGAGTTCCTCTCAACAATTATGGTGGAGGTCGTACTCAACTTACAAAGATTTGCACTCATTGTGGTGGATTTAACCACACTGTTGAAACTTGTTTTCATCTTTATGGTTTTCCACAAGCATATAAATCACGAAATCCTGCACCTCATGCTACCAATATTGTAGCACAAAACGCATCTGATATTTTTACTAGCAAATCGGATTCAGCTTCAAGTGTCACTCTTTCTGGTGATCAATATCAGCACATTCTGAGTCTACTCTAGAAGAATGTTGTTACTTCCACTTCTAGTCCTTCTACCAATCATGCCACAAATTTCACACAAGTATCCAATTTTAATACTACATTGATGGATCAGCCAGGTAACATAGATTCATATTGGCTTTTAGACAGTGGTTCTACAGATCATGTGACATATTTGAGATCCCAATTTACACAATTGATAAAGACTCAACTTATTTCTATTAATCTGCCTAATGGAGTCACATTTCTTGCAGAATTTTCTGGAACTGTTCATGTTTCACCTACTCTTGTTTTATTTGATGTCCTTTATGTTCCACAATTTAAGGTTAATCTCATTTTTGTTGCCAAACTGTTAACTCATGTCCCTTGTTCTCTAATTTTTCGTGCCTCTCATTGCCTTATACAACACATCCATACCCAAATGAAGATTGGTATTGCTGAGCAACGAAATGGGCTATATGTGATCATGGGAAAGAATATCAAGGAAGCTTGTCATATGCAGCGATTTAGTAGCAATAAAGACACTCAAATTTGTAATGTGCAGAAACATGATTCTGTTGTTTGGCATTAAAGACTTGGTCATATACCACATACTGTAATGAGGCAGATGTCTCTTCGATTCCCTTTTATTTCGGGTGATTTTTTGCACCCTTGTGATACCTGTCACTTGGCAAAACAGAAACAATTGTCATTCCCTATTTCTGAGTTGAATTCAATACATAGCTTTCAGCTGATTCATGTTGACATCTGGGGCCCTTTTGCTACTGCTTCCCTTGAAGGTTATAGGTATTTTTTTACCATAGTTGATGATTATTCAAAATTTACTTGGGTGATGTTAATGAAAGCTAAATCTGAAACTAGTTCTCATATAAAGAATTTTGTGGCTTTTATTGAGACTCAGTTTCACACTACCATTACTGTTATTCGAAGTGACAATGGCAAGGAATTTCTCATGGCTGATTTTTATTCACAAAAGGGAATTGTTCATCAATGTAGTTGTGTGGAATGTCCCCAACAAAATGGTACGGTAGAGAGGAAACATCAACATATCCTCAATGTGGCTAGAGCCCTCCTTTTTCAATCCTATTTGCCAATTTCCCTTTGGAGTTATGTTATCACACATGTTGTTCATTTAATCAATCGCACTTCCACTCCCATTTTAGCCCACAAAACACCTTATGAGGTTCTCCACAATCAACCTCCAATTCTCCTTCATTTGAGAGTGTTTGGTTGCCTTGCTTTTGCTTCCACCTTCCATGCTCATCGTTCAAAATTTTCTCCCAAGGCTCGCAAATCTGTCTATTTAGGACATAAAGCTGGTGTTAAAGGTTCTGTATTATATGACCTTTTGTCCAGAGAGATTTTTTTGTCAAGAAATGTGATTTTTTATGAAGATCACTTTCCATTTCTTGATACCACATATAAGTCAGAACCTATTGCTCCCTCTGATACTGTTGTTGCTACCTTACCTACACCTCAGCCATATCTTGACCTTGACCATTATTTCTTTATCTCTACCCTTACTTCTTCTCATACTCCAATCACACCTTCCACATCTCTACCTGCTGATACATCACAGTACGCATTTGATCAATATACTTGCAATAACAATGTTATATCTGATCATGGAGATACTTCACCTACTGTTATTGAGGATCATACACAACATGCTACAACTCATGATTTCTCTCAGCCACCTCAACTTCGAAGATCCACCAGGATAAAGGTAACTCCTAAATACTTTGACCAATATCACTATAGCCCAATCGTCAATCATCATACCAATTTTTGTGAGAGTAGGTCCATTTCCATACCTTCCAAACATTCCATTTCTACTGTACTTTCTTATGTAAATTGTTCTTCTCAATATTCACATTTCTGTCATAATATATCAACTAATGATGAACCTAGTTGCTACACTCAAGCTGTTAAATCAGTTCATTGGAGGCAAGCAATGGAAGCAGAACTTCAAGCCTTGGAACAAAACAATACCTGGAATATTGTTGATCTTCCATCTGATAAACAACCTATCCAATCCATTGAACGATACAAGGCAAGATTAGTTGCCAAGGGGTTCACCCAATTAGAGGAAGTTGATTTTTTTGATACCTATAGTCCAGTAGCAAAATTGGCTTCTGTTCGCATTCTTCTATCCATTGCATCTGCTAAAGGCTGGTTCATTCATCAATTAGATGTGAACAATGCCTTTTTACATGGGGACCTCCTTGAAGAAATTTACATGGTACCTCCACAAGGTTTAGTTTCTACCTAAACAGGGACAAGTCTGTCATCTCTAAAAATCCATGTATGGATTAAGACAAGCTAGTCGCCAGTGGCATGCGAAGCTATCTACATTCCTTCTCTCCATAGGATACATTCAGGCACATTCTGATCATTCCTTATTTCTCCTTCATCAGCATACTTCTTCTACTGCTTTACTGATTTATGTTGATAACATTCTCATTTGTGGCAATGACTTTACTGAGATTACAAGAGTCAAAAAGTTGCTTGATGACAGATTTCGCATTAGATCTGGGAGAATTACGTTATTTCCTTGGATTAGAAATGGCTCGATCTTCCAAAGGTATTGTTTTGAATCAACGGAAATATGTGCTTGATATCATCAAGGATTCTGGTCTTCTTGATGGAAAATCTGTTTCTTCACCAATGGAAGCTTGTGCCAAGCTTCAGAGTAATCAAGGGACCCCCTTTCTATCCTTTTCCCTATCGAAGACTTGTTGATCGCTTGTTATATCTCACTAATACTCGCCCTGACATTTGCTTTGCTGTTCAAACTCTCAGTCAATTCATATCTGCTCCTACCAATGTTCATATGGCTGCTGCAAAACTAGTTGTTCATTATCTCAGACAAGCTCCTGGTACTGGTTTATTTTTTCCAGCAAAGAATGATCTTCGTGTGCAAGCTTTTGCAGATTCCGATTGGGGAAAATCAATTACCGGATTTTGTGTCTTCATTGGTTCTTCTTTGGTAACCTGGAGGACAAAGAAGCAATCTACCATCAGTCATTCCTCAACTGAAGCGGAATATCGCGCCCTTGCAAGTCTCTCCTGCGAAATCCAGTGGCTTCAATATTTTTTTCAAGACCTTCATCTACCATGGCCTTCACCAGCTTCTGTGTATTGTGATAGTCAATCCGCCATACATCTTGCTCATAATCCCATGTTTCATGAGAGATCCAAACATATTGAAATAGATTGCCATGTCACTCGCAGCAAAATCCAATCTGGTCTTCTTCGCCTTTTTCCCATTGGCACTTCTCATCAACTCGCTGACACATTTACCAAACCTTTGGGTCGTAATGCTTTTACTGATGCTGTTTCCAAGCTGGGGATGTTTGATATACATCGTCCAGCTTGTTGGGGGGGGGGGGGTCTTGGAACAAAGAAGTCCCACATCTGATAGTGATCAAACTAGTGTTGCTAGTGTTGTTAAGCTTATGCCACGGGGACTGGCAAAACAGAATTAGGTTCTTGTTAGATAATTTGGTTAGACTTTCCCGCGCTTTTACCTTACTTCTTTCTGATGTAGAACATCACCTGTATAAATACTTTGAAGAGAAATGAAAACAGTAGATTGGTTTTTCCAAAATCAATGTTAGTTTCATTGAGTTTAAGAGTTTATTCTAGGTACTAAAAAATGAAAAACATCGGAAAACTTAGATAGTTCATTCTAGTCAAGTTGGATTAAACTTCTTTTGGAATAGATTTAAAAACTTCATTATAAATCACTTTTACGAAAAATCACAGCAGAAAGCATATTGGGAATTAGAAAGTTTATTTTTCAGCGATACTACTTTAGAAAATCAATTAAAATATAAATGTAGTTGATTGTATAGAAACCAACCATTCAAAAGATCATTTAATAAAGAATATTTTAATTTTTTTTTAGAGAATTAGAATTTAACGAAGAAGAATGTTATTATTTACAGCAAATTTACGAAGAAGGTGGTTTTATTTTTTACGACGAATTATAGTTGGCCAGTATCAAATTATTACGGATCAGATTATTATTCAGACTAAAAGTTTATACGTTTTATGAACTATCTAGAAAATTTCTACAACTTATTCTCTTCCTATATTATTAATTGCTGTAAAAATATTACTGAGTTTGAATTTTATTATTATTTATATACTTTCCTAGACGAAACTAATAAAAAATATACTTTTAAACAGAAATACCTCAACTATATTAAATCGGTAATTGCTTTAATAGAATTTCAACATCCAGAAAAAGATTTACTTAGGCAAATAATTATTAATAATTTAGAAAACATAAAATTTAATTTTCTGGACTATTATTATTTTGAAAAAATATTAAATAAAGAAGGATTGGATTTTTTTTTTTAGATAAGACATCTTTTATCCAATCTTATTTGTATGAACCTTATAGAAGAAGCATTTGAAAATTTTAATCTAAAATTAGAAGTTTATTTAGCATATCATATTGAAGCTTGTTATTATTCTTATTTCTGGAAATACGTAGAAGAACCTAATTATTCTAATATATTTAAAAGAGACCAAATGTACAGAGATGTCCAATCAGATATTGGTATATTAATATTGGATCTGTTTGTCATTTCTAAAGTACTTATATGAGAGATATCTTAGAGATCAGCGGATCACTGTACACGATAATATAAATAACATGTCAAGACGTAGGGTGTATGCACAATGATAACTGAGAGATATGGTTTAGAAAATATGTACCTTATTTGGCTTAACTCCTTATTTATATATGAGTTACCTGACAGAAGTGTATTTCTAGGCCTCTTAAAAATATTGAAAGCCTATTAAGATATGATCGTCGTTAATAGAGAATTATTTTTCTTATTTGCACGACTTTTCTTTTGTGTTGCCCTTTTGGACCTTATAGAATATGGATATTTTTTAGGTCTATAACAATATTATAAGTTAATAAAAGATATTATAATAAAGGATCATCTTGAAAGTCATATTCTTAAAGATTACTAGAACCGTATATTAAAAATATAATATTTACTG